TCTGCACTGAAACTCAAGGTGCCACTGCATCTGACAAGCCTCCACCTCTTCTCTTCTGAGGGTTTCCAGGCAAGAATGGCAGTCCCTGGGATTACTGGGACACCAGTACACTATGGCAAAGAACAGGATATAATACTCCAGCACAACTACTGAGAAGAGAATCTTGTCCTAGAGGTGGCTTTTGGGACCCTACACAGTGCTGTCTGCCAACTCAAGGAACCAAAAGCAGAGAAACAGCCCAGGAAGATGCCCTCAGAACAGCAGTAAAGCAGTAGAACTACTGCTACTGATGCTGACATTTTAACCAAGATATTCTCAATCCCAGCCCTCCAGTCAGTCCTAGAAGTGACCAGAGATACTCTCAGCACCCCATCTCTGTGACCTGGAAGAAGAGAAGCTATCTGAAATTATTAACACTAAGCATGAAAGATTCCTTTTCTTAGGTTGTGAGACCACACCACTTCTCTAAAGTGCTGATACCTCAGGATGATGCATTCAACTAAGACAGAGAAAAGCTGTAGAACCATTATTTTGGGAAAACTAGAAACATGAATTACCAAGCAGTATGTGATCTCTTTGTTGTAGCGTTAGGATGGAATATGATAGTCTTTCAAGAATTGTCAGTCCCAAGGAGTTGTCTGTCTTGGTCAATATGAGCACTGCACTTCCCTTTATTTTGTTGTGGCCCTGCCTAAGACTCAAGATACTGTTCAAAACCAACAAATACAAATGTTATATTCATAATGTATCAGCCTGAGTACCCTAATATGACAGATCAGGGATAACATCTACAAAATAGGAATAGTCTAAGACTGAAGCTTCAAACACTACTTAACTCAAAATCTAGCCAACCTTAAGAGTTACTCTAGACATAAGGAGAATGAGTGCACAGGAGAAACAAAGCTGCACAGAAACCACTTCAGGTAGATTAGAGAGATCTTTATAGAATCAGAGCATTTTAAATAACGCTTAATTTGATAATTTAAATTCTTTAATTTTAATTCTTTAATTTTAATTAAATTAATTTAATTTAATTTTAATTCTTTGATTTTAATTCTTTAATTCAAGGTAGCCCAGATAAGATGGTCTCATAAATTCTATTTTGTAGATTTAAAAGCATTAACAAAAGATTTCCTCCTTACAACAGAGTACTGTGTGTTAATTGAAAATCAAAAGTAATGTGAAGGACAGAATAGGTTCCTTAGTTTGCTCCTTTTTTTCTGTCTCATTCACAAGCAAATCCATATATTTGACCAATATGCTTCTGAAGAATGTGTATGTGTGATGGTGTTCTCTGTGATAACATGGGACACTAAATTCTTTGATATTTGCATTTTACTGGCCCAGAAAGTAGATAGCAACAGTAGAGGGCACAACAAAGCAGGATTAAATTGTGGTACTTTAAGTAATTTCTCAGCAAACTAAAATGGCATATTGAGCAAAGTGAAATCTGTGGGTTTGCATCACACAGAGTTGAGTAGAAATACATATTTTTACCATTTTGATGCAGAGTGGGTGCACAACCAATGAAATATTCACTACTGCTGTCTAAAGGCTTACCCTACAATGACTGAAATGGAAACAGAAGAATCACAGGAGATCCTACCACTAGGTTGTTTTGCACTCTAGTTTGCTTTCAATGTCTTTCATAGTATCACCCTGAAAATCTTAGAATTCAAGGAGAAAATGTGACTGCCATTAACTTTTCAAGTTGCACAAAGTAAACAGCGGCATTTAAAAGTAAACTCTACACACATTGGAAGGCCAATTGTTTAGGTTTTCTACCCCAGAATAGCCATCTCTTATGTAAAAATTCACCTGTTCTTATTTAAAAACTCATCTGTTATAAAGGCCATTTTTAGTTCTGGTTTTCTGTAACACAAAGTTTAGCTACAGCAAATAATTCATATTGGATTAAATATCAAAGCACTTTCGAAGTTTGAAAGATTTATATTCTTGGCATTCTAGATCAGCATTATAAAATAGTCCTTGTTTCATAACAAGGGTCTAATCTTAGCACCCTGTTAATCCTAAATCTCACTTTGTCCAAACAACAGAGCTGTTGTTTCTACAACTGCAACCCTGCTCCTTGATTTGAATACACAGTAATGTTAGAATTTGTATTAGCCTTTTGCAAAAAATTGCATGATCTTTTATTAAAATATACCATTTTGATGAGTGACTTTAAAGTTGAAGCAGATGACGGAAGACAAACACATATTCCAGCAAGGGATAGATGGTGCTACCAGAGTAACATTTTCCAGTTACAGCCATTTTCACCATCCAGAACAAAATGAACCTTGAATCCAGATAAATTTTAAAATTTAAAGTAAGATTTGGTCACTGAGCACAAAGAATTCCAGACAATTGAAACAGCTACTGGGAATCTCTTAATCTGGAAATTAATTAGAGAAGAATGACATTTCTTTCTTACAATTACAAAAGTTAATGTAGTTAATTCTAGGAACTGGCAAAAAATATTCAACACTCACAACCAGTTCATTAAATCTTTGGTGATATAAATATATTTAGCACTTACATGGTCATTGCCAAGGTTTATCCTATTTTAGTGAGGGCAAGAATGCAGAGTGATGTTTACATTTTAAATTATTCATTACATTCAGCTGATATCCTCAGATTCAGACCTGATCATCATACAAACATACACTGGTATGTTTCAAACTTATTCTTATTTTGATATTGTTAGCAAGTTAAAACCAGAGCAAATTCACTGAAGTGCACATTTACACTATGTGTGAATGTGTTTTAGCAGAGTACTTCATTTTGACTGACCAGCTATGTGTCACATAAAGCAAAAAGGGTCAAAATCAAAGAAGAAATCAAAGAAGGGTCAAAATCAAAGAAGAAATAATTTTAGTCATCAGTTAAGTAAAAATAGAGCAATGTCATATTCTTCTAAATTTTCAGAGCCTATTAACTCAAATAAAGATCTTTTTATAAACCCAGTTCAATTCCATGTCCCTTTCCCACACTCTCTACAAATGCCTGTTTTATTGCACCTATAATGGATCTTTTGAATAATAATTTTTAAAACCCACAACATGCTTCTGTCAATGTACACTTCATTTCACTTGCATTTAGTTGCACCTTGTGTAGACATTCAGAAATGTAAATAATTTGAGTTGACACAGTGATCTGTTTTGCTTTCAGCAGCTGCTAAACTTTATTTCTCAAGTAACATTTACCATACAAACTATACTTCTTGCCCATTGTTAAAATTGTACATCATCATCTTGACTTCCAGAAAATAACAGGAACTCCACTATTGCATAACTCAAAAAATATACACAGACATTTACAAGCAAAAATAAAAATTATATTTTGTAAAATAATAAACATCAGCCCTCAAAATTAAAGCACTGTTTTGCCTATAGAGATTCCTAACACCTTTCCAGGGTCCACCCATGCAGATGAATACCCAAATGACTGCAAAGACTGTTCACACTACTACACTGTTAACCTGGAACATGATTATCATAGCTAAATAGCTGCCTAATACATGAAAAAAAGCTTTCCCCCCAAAGTTGCTCCACTCCTCCCATGAAGCTACCAGTCATCTTCTTTACTCATTTGATCATCCTCCACAGCTTTGCAAGCCACATTCCTAAGAGATGCCATGTTCTGGAGTTCCTTTGTGGTTCTTCGATTTCTTTTCTGAAATCATTCCTCCCCATTTGCTGGTTAAGGTAGGCATGTCTTTGTGCTGCAAGGTAGAGAAATATGTAAAAGTAGAGCTCACAGGTTTTAAGGAAGTGGAAAGAAGCCAGAGTTAAGCTATGAAAGTTCAGTACCCTCTGAAGTGCATGGCTTGCTTTTCCTCAAACTCCAAATGCAAACCCAGATCTGTTGCAAAAATAATTCTTGTAGATTTATATTGCTGTCTGACCTGAATACACCCAGGGCTACACAGCAAGTCTTGGGGATTCTCCATTTACTCTCAGGTTGCATACAGACCTGGCTTCAAAAATGTAGGTGGGGGCAGACTTCAGAGACAGATCCTTTGAGAGAGGAACAATGTTACAGTCTGAGGGCTGTTATCTAGAAACCCCTCTATAAAACAGTCAGCCTGTTCCATTCATCCTGGTGTTCACAGTAAAAGTCCAAAGCAAACTTCTGAAGGGCAATGTATCCTTCCCTCCTCTTGCCATCCCTCATCAGATCTGATCGTACAGCTTTTGCCGTCTTCCTGTACAACAGGGACCAAGGTTTTAGGTCTTTTCAGCCCTGCAAAGATATCTATAACCAGCCACACACTGGCGACGAGGACAGGCACATCCTGAAGGAGGGAGTAACGCTTAGAGCTGCAGCTCCACCTTTAGATGGAAATCGGCATTGGAAAAGCATCAGCGAGAAAAGCACAGCTGGACAGCTTGAATTCACTCTCACCGAAGGAAGGAGGATATCTGCGGCAATGGGATGCACGGAGCTGGACCGTCCCTCAAGCAGCTCCCAGAGCCAGCTGCTGGCATGGCTGTCCCCAGGACCAGGCCTGCCCCTCGAGCACTCCAGCAGCTTTCCAGTAACATCATTTTCCAGTCTCAGAAGAATTCTCACAAGGTGTAATGTTGAGACACCTCTCTTGCTCTCCTAGACCCTCTACTCTTTTCCTGCTCCACGTTTAGGTGCCTTGCTGTTTACATCACCCAGAAAACCGGCCAGCCTTGCCTCAGATGTCCCTGCTGCCTCAGAGAGTGATGTCTATCCATGCTGCCACCACTCCCTGCAGAAGTTGTCCAGAGGCTCCAGCGGGGACCTGCTGCCCTGCAGGACACATGGCCACGCACCTTCCCAGCACCTTCCCCCCTGAAGGACTTGAGATGCTCATAGCACACCTAACACAGGCTCCAGAGGAATGGAGCCTGGAGGACGATGCTCAAGTGGAAATGCTGAATCTGAAGGAAGGATATTCCCAGTGGGATGTACTCAGTTATGAGGGAAAGAAGAGAGCGGGAGGGGACTAGGGGCAGGAGTGGGGGGACTCAGCGAGGGGTGGCGATGCCCAGCAGGTGGGCAGGGACGCGGGCAGCCAGCAGGCAGGCCAGCACGATGCCGACGAGCTGCAGCAGTGCCAGCCCCAGGGCAGCGGTGGCGACACAGTACAGGTTGCTGCCGACGAAGGCGGACACCCTGCCGAAGCAGCCGTCGCGGTGCAGCCAGCGCGCGTCGGGCGGGCGGCGCTGGCAGCCGCGGCGGGCCCGGCAGCAGCTGAGGGGCACCGAGCCGTTCTGCCCCAGCGCCCAGGGCGAGCGCAGCCAGTCGCGGTAGCTCTCCACGCCGCAGCAGGACAAGGCTCGCTGCAGCGCGTCCAGGGCCTCCGCCACGCCGTCGTCCTCCCCGTAGGCCAGCAGCGCCCGGCGCAGCCCCTCCTGGAAGCCCTGCGCCAGGGTCTGGCGGTACAGCAGCGCCGAGAGCCCGGCCGCCAGCCCGGCCGCCAGCACGGCCGCCAGGAAGGCGCTGTAGGCGCGCAGGAGTCCCCGGTGCTCCGTAGCGGCGCCGAAGCATCCCAGGAAGCCCCAGATGATGACAGCTACGCCGGTGGCCAAGAGGATGGTGGGGGCGCTGGGGTAGCCGCTGGCCGACAGCGCCAAGTAACTGCCCAGAGACACCTTGGCCCAGAGGCCGATGATGAGCATGGTCAGCCCCGCTGCCCAGAAGACGAAGCTGAAGGCCATGAGGGACAGCTTGAGCAGGGTCATGGTGCCCTCGGGCCCCGGTGTCGTGGGGAGGGCGGTGGCGGTCACGGGGAGGGCCTCCCGCGGCCGTTTTTGCCGCCGGGCGCTGCGCAGCACGGGCGCCTCGGCGCTGTCCGAGGTGCGGCCCCGCCGGCTCTCCGAGCAGCCGTCGGTCGGTGCGGCCCGGGGCCAGTGCCACTGCAGCCGGTGCCAGTCCCGCCGCTCCTCCACCCCCGGCCCCTTCTGAGGGCGCGGCCCGGTGGCACTGCCACAGCTCCTCCGCCCCGGCCCCTTTTGAGGGCGCGGCCCGGTGGCACTGCCACAGCTCCTCCGCCCCGGCCCCTTTTGAGGGCGCGGCCCGGGGCGGGCCGGGGCTCTCGGCCGCGCTGCGGGGCTCTGCCGGGGGTTCGAGCCGGTCAGATCGAGCAGCTGCTCGGCCGCCGGCCCCGGGCTCCGCTCTCCCCTCCCCGGGCGAAGTAAACGGGTGTTACTGGCAGCTGCCCCTGCCCGCAGCACTGCAGACCTGTGGTGCTGTTCACAGGGGTCCCATGATGAGGGAAGAGACGAGAATGTTGACTCCATGTTTCAGAAGGCTTGATTTATTATTTTATGATATATATTATATTAAAACTATACTAAAAGAATAGAAGAAAGGATTTTATCGGAAGACTAACTTAGAATAGAAAAGGAATGATAACAAAAGCTTGTGACTGACCGAGACAGTCTGGACAGCTGGATTGTGATTGGCCATTAATTAGAAACAACCACATGAGACCAATCACAGATGCACCTGTTGCATTCCACAGCAGCAGATAACCATTGTTTACATTTTGTTTCTGAGGCCTCTCGGCTTCTCAGGAGAAAAAATCCTAAGGAAAGGATTTTTCATAAAACATGTCTGTGACACGGACCCTCAGCCAAAAACATTCTGAAACTGGAAAGCTCAGTGTTAAACTTTAATGGCATATACTGCAGCCCAGGTTTACCCTAGGCAAGGGACTAAACTTCTATAAGCACTAGGAGTAATACTGAATACATAGATAACCCACAGGAAGCATAACGTGAGGTTTTGGTTTTATTTCTTTTACTGCATCAAGCTGTACTATTAGGACCTTTTGTACAAATAAGCATAAATCTGTACCTGAATATTAACTAACTACACATTCAGTCAGTGACTCAGTTTAGCTTTTCCCAGTTAGAAACTATTTTCAGTGTGGCCTGGCCCTGTTAAATATTCATTTGATTTAGCCCATGATAACACTGAGCCGCTGAGAAGACGTTAAACCACAGCAAGGCACTGTTACGTAACTAGTGGCCCAGCAAGCTACAAGGAGAGATTCCATCACCAATGTAGTCTCATTGCAAAAGAGCAAAAGGTAAGCTACTCCTACAAGCCAGGTTAAAAAAAAATCAGTAGGAAACTGTAAAAGAGACAGTGTCTCAGTCAGAGGTAGAATTAGCATCTCCAGGGGTTAATTTGCATGTGCAACAGTCACACCAAAAAAGCAGGTTGTTGTGGTTGACATCTTTATCAAACCCTTTTGGGACTGAATTCTGAGGTTTACTTGTGTTTCAGTGGTCACATTTTCTTGATTTCTTTCTGTAACAGATTTAGGGAGGGAAAGGAGGTGCTTTATGTGTGACATCTTAATGCACAGGTTTAATGCACAACCAGCAAATTATAGGTGTCAAACCATTAATTTAGCATAATCATAACTGAAAAATCACTTGTTCTTTATTAGAGGCCTTAAATTCTGTCCATTCTCATAATCCATGCTCCTGGAACTGTTTGGGTAAGTAGAGGAGGTTGGATTCTACTCCCTGAGTGTGTAAGAAATGGTGAAACAGGTTCAGTGTCTGAAAAATAAACCTACTAGAACACCTTGATTTTTCAGACATTGGCCAAATCAAAAATTATATTGACATCTTAGGAAGAAAACAGTTAAAGAATCTCATGAAATCATACAAGTGAATAAATTTTTATTGCATTACATGTGATATGTGGACTGACAATCTGATGAAAGAGATGTCCCATTCCATGTTGTTTTGGAAAGCGAAGTGTTGTGGAAATACCATAAGAAGGGAGGATTCAGATGTGCCAACCTCACTAAGAGCAGCACTACTGATTTTCAAAGAGTGGTTACAAACTTGGGTAGGAAATGCACTGAGATTCACCCTGGAAAATGCAAACTAATATATCCTAGAGAAAACTGGTGCTTAGTGATGCAAGAAGCTGCCTGCCAAACTGTGCATCTGAAGGACACGTGGGTGACAGGAGATACCTAATTAGGCAGCACTCTGCAATACTATTTGGCAAGGAAAAGCTGTCTGCTTGAAGCATGAATTTTCCTGTTTCCTTACTCTTTTGGTTTGGTAATATCTTAAGTGTTACCTCCTCTTCCTGGCAGATGCATGGTGATTTTGATTTAAAGTGATCCTCTTGATTTCCTGTGATTTTTTTTTTTTTTTTTTTGCAGGAGTTTACACATGAAATTCTGAAGTGACTATTTCCCATCACTCTGTTACAGAGGGGAATAACAATGCAGGGATTCTTCATGGCTTTTCAAGGAAACTGAGCCTTTTTCTGGTTCTTAGTTCATGACTATTTAAGGCACTTCTGGCTAGAAGAATGAGTGGCAGTACTGGCACAGAGAGCCAGATCAGGTAGTTAGGAGCTCCACTACAAAAATATGGGTAGCAAGAGTAGCTTTAAAAAGTATTGGTTTGATGTTCTCAAGTGTATTTTCCTTAGACACCTGAATGAGATTTTCATGTCATGATTTACAGAGAGATAGTAGAGCTGATAAAGTACCTGCATATCTACTTTGGGGAAAGCTAGAAGTCCTATGATGCCAGCATAAGTTCTGCTGGTGTTACATTAGTGTACCTTTGATGTTGTCACTATTTATTATTGGTAGTTTATTGTCTGGCAATATGCTTAAGAGCTCCTCCCATGGACAAGATGCCTACTGGATGGGATCCCTGTAAGTACAAAACAAAAAGGTCTCCTATAGTAAAGTCTGATTTAGCAATGCTTTGTCATGTTGAGTGATTTCTTACACCGTAAATTCAAGTCCATTTGAGTTCAATAGAAGTGTTAATAGAAAAAACAGTGTTTCAGTGTAAGATACCTAATTCCTATTGAAATTATTTTTATCTAAAACTGAAAGTTATCTTTAAGTTTAATCAGATGAAACAGAAGTCATAGTTTTACAGACTCCCAGGGCTGTGCAGCATGGATGTGGTGCAAGTCCAGGTTGAACGAGAAAAGATAAACTTGGGGAAAGAGAATTTCCCCTTAATCTTTCCATTCTTTCTGGGAAGGAAATGTGTCACCATTTCATAACAGAACTCAATTCCAATTCCAGCTCTCTTCAGGGAAAATTAATAGATTATGAAACACCACGTATTACTTGCCCCATCACAAACCCTTTGTCCAAGAGGAAATATTGGATAAACTGCTTCTGCTCATCAGCAGACTCAGAGATGCAGCCTGGGCAGAGCAGAGAGGCATCTGGGTGGGGCTCCTACCAGCTTGCACAGCTGAGCAGATGTCTTCACCTGCAGCAACTCTGATCCTAAGGAAGAACTCAACCTACCGATCCTTGGAATGTACTATTGTTCTTCACCATCTGTACTAGCATAAGTGCTATTTTTTTTCACAGCAAGTTTATTTTAGGAACTCAGGTGTGTAATCTCTGCTATATATCAGTTTGCTATTAATAGCAATGATCGGAGATTCTTTGAATTAATGATTTACTTCTAATGTGGTTTTTAACCTTAAAATAGAGCACAAAATTTAATTTTAGCTGTACCTTCACTGTAACTAGAGGAAAATACGATCTATGCCTTGAGCAAGTCTCTCAAGGCAAAATTCATTGCACTTTCCACTGACCCCACAGAAAGTTATTATATGCTGGACATCAGATACATTTCAACACTAGTATATCCAAATAGCATGCAGGCTAGGTTGGTGGTAATGTGTCAAAATACCATGTCAAAGGAATAAAAAAAAAGTAAATCTTTAAACTTTTCAGGGAGCAATGGGAGAACAAGATAAGATTAAACATTGGCAAATTTTACACTTAATTTTAAAATATTTGAACATATTTCTACTAGTTCTCTGTTCCCACTTGTTGTATTAGGAGCTGAGGGTATAAAGCATTTCACATGTGGGATCTGTGTCATGTGCATAGTGACAGCAGTTCAGTGTACTTGGCAAGTCATCATTCATATAACCCTTATCAATACAGATTTCCATACTTGAGATTTACAAGATCTGCAGCAAGAAAGATTTCTTCCACTTTTCACTTGGTTGGTGTAATTTTGTTTCACCTTTGCTGGGTTTGAAAGCTAATGACCTTATTTCTTTATAGCCCCTTTTCCTGTCTTATCTTAAACAAATGCCATGATACTAAATGTGGAGTAGCCAATCCAAAACAGAGTAAACTGGGGTGTCACATTGCATAGAACAACCACTTCTCTGTTTAATTTTATCAGAATAGTGGGGGCTTCCAGTTCATAAATGCTGATGCAAGGGAGAAGACTATTCCTCTGGATGCATAAAACAGACCCCAATATACCATGTATTTTGGTTTGTTATGCAATCAATGGACAGTAAACTTTTTAGTGATATTGTAAATGTAGCTTTATGGAACGAACAGCTGTCATTGCTCATTGTATAAAAAATATAATGCACACAACCTGATGTATAGAGGTGATCTATATGTTGCCCATAATGTGTTTTTATCAAAAAATACCTATCAGTAGTCCCTTGCTTCCTACTGGTGCTTGGCACAAGGTTAGTGGGGAAAAAGAATATTTGGTTACCAGCAAGGTTCATGCTTTCTGTGCCCCTGGGTGAGGGACTGGGAAATCTCATGGACAATTGCACAGCTGAAGCATTTAGCAGAAAACAGATGTCCAGTGCAAAGGCAGGTGTTCCACACGTACCTGCTGATTCCTACCTGCACACGTATCCTCTTTGTCTCTGCTGTGCTTCTGTGCTTCGGCAGATCTTGCCA